GAGATGATTTATTAACTATATACACTTCTGGGAGGGATGGTGGATATGTAAAATATAGATTGAAATGTTTGCCAACAATTAGCGAACCTTATAATAGTTCTGAGGAAGGCTCTGAGATAATGGAAAATTGTTCTGGTGATTATTTGCTAGAAAAGGTTGAGAATTATAAATCACTTTCTATAAACACTAATTTAAAGTGTGTGTTTTAAGGGCAAGTAATTTCAGGATGTGATTTAATATTGGAAGAAGTTTATAGAGCTAAAATTACTAAAGGATGGATAGAAGAGGTTATTATTAAAATCATGGTTTTACTGTTTATTTTATTTATTGTTTTCTTATTATTTCTGGATCTTAACCATATAATTGTATGAAGGTAATACTTGTAGACGATGAATTGATATTGTTAGGGTTTTACAGGAAGCGATTTTTTGTATATAATGATACCAAAAAATTTGAGGTTCTTAATTCCTACTTTTTGCTATCATATTTACATTAAGGTGTTAATCTAATCACTAACTCATTTATAATTAAAGATGCTTTCAGTTGCTTGTGGTGGTGCCCATCGAGTTTGGCATTTTAAGGCCCAAGATAAACGGATGAATAAAGCTAGTTTTATGTTTATCCGTAAGGAGAATGTAACTAGATTTTTTTATTTTGCTTTTTATTTCTTAATTTATTACTTTGATAAAATTTTTTGATTCATATATATATAAAAAGATATTTATTTACTCAAGAGAGATTACGATGACAAATGAAGGATTTAATGAATGCAAATTACAAGAAAATTTTCATGGAAAAGAATGTAGAAATGTGAAATTTTTGCGTAAGTAAATTTATTTTTTCTTCTAGAATGATATAGAATTTTTAATATTTACAAATTTATTTGTAAAAGCGTATCCTCTAAATGCTTTACATCATTATCATTCGTTCAAAAATGATCCAATTATATTTGCAACTGGGGCTGAAGACAGTTTGTTAAGGTTATTTCAGTGTAAGTCTATGCAAAACTTTTCAATAATATATAAGTAAGTTGGCTTATAATTTGTATTGATATATAACTGTCATATAACATCAATTTGAATTTAATAATTGGTTAATTTTGGTCTATCTATTTTAAAATTTTAAATCAATTATAGCAAATACAAATTAAATTAAAATTGATACATCTTATTTTAGATATACCTGGTGAGAAAAAAAATCACTTGTTTAGCTTGTGCAGTATTAAAAAGCATAGTTCAGTGATTAAGAACATAGAGTGGAGTCTTGGTAAATATTTTTTTTCTTATTTTTTGTTAATCTTTAGCAAAATAATTGAGAATTAATTTTTACATTGTAGGCAATGAACTATTATTATTCTCATGTGGTGCAAGTGAAGAATTAACATGTTGGAAAGTTGAAATTAATGTTATGCATAACCAAAAAAATATTTCAAGTACTTTATTTTCACGAGAGTGATTTATTTTCTCTTTAATATTTGTTTATTGTAAACTATATACTTATTGGAATTTGATAGTACAAACATCCTTTGTAAATGTAAATTGCCTAGAATGGGCATCTTGTCCTGTTGTCAGGTAATTATTAATCTAAGTCTAAAACAGATATATTTGTCTTTTATTAAGTACTAAATTTCATCTTACCTATTTGTAATTATATTTTGTCTTCAGTGAAGTTCTAGAAACTAGAATAATGGATACAAGCATTTTTCCAATTAATCCAAATAATGGACATCATATCATTGCAGCCGTATATTCTGATTCTATATTAAGGGTGAGTTTATATTCCTAAATATATAACGAAATTATAGTAATTATTAAAATTATAGTTTATGATTAATTTAGGTTTGGTTATTTGACGAAAAGAAAAAGAAATTCTTTTTAATTGGAATGGCTAAATTTCACAATAAATGTATTTTACAAGTAAAACATGTGGTTATTAAAGGTTATAGTTTATAATTTATTATAACCTTTTTGTATAATTGCAGATGATTGGTATTAATTGTTTAAAATTTACCTTCTATTTTTAGCCAAAAAATCAATGACCGAAGATGGCATACTATTATTCACATCAGCAACCGATGGCAGGTATGCTGTATTTTATTTTTTGACATCTTGAAATTTACCAGCATGTAATGATATTTTTTTAAATTTTTTATTAAATGTATAGGATCGCTGTATGGGATATTTCACACTACGTTCATAGGTGTTCTGATATCTCCTAAAATACATTCTTTTGCTCTTATTATTTATATCCTCATCATTTATTTGTTTTTAAATTAGCTATTTAATTTCATATGCTACCGAAATAGAGTTCCAACACCACACCCCTTTCAATCTAGGCACGCCCATTTTCTCATACCAAGCACACCAATCCGGAGTAAATTGCCTCACACTTCATCACATGACTAATTCTGCTACTTCTAACTTCATAAAAGAATCATTTATAATTGTAACTGGCGGTGATGATAATGCTATAACTGCTTTAGTTTTGGCATTCACATATCATGAAGTCAAAGAAATGGATTGTGGTATAAAACGTGGAAAATGGACTGTGGAACAATGCATAAATGATGTTTTGAAAATGGATATTGCACACGGATCGTCTATTCAAGGTGTCTATTTATTTATTATGGCAAATAAAATGAAATTGATTAAAATGAAATGCTGCATTATTTTAATTAGAAATTTACATGTCTTGATAAAATGTTTTGGAGTGCACTTTTTGGGTTTTAGTTTTAGTTAGGATTTAGGATTATTAATTAAAAAGTATATGTGGATTTAGAGATTTAAAAATCCTAGTTTTCATCTTAATCTGATTTCATTATGGTTTACGACATTTATTAATTTAATAATTTAATATTTTTTATTCTTTGTTAGGTATACACATGGTAAATGACTCGACAATACTCAGTACGTCAATTGATCAGCGATTAAATTTATGGAACATTACCTTTAGTAATTTATTCAATAACAAAATAAATAAGAATGATGAAAGTAAATTTGAGTTGATTAAATCAGAATTTATTAATGTTTGCGATCCATGTTGTATGGATGTTTTAAAAATTAATAGTAGAAATGATAAAACCAAATTAATGGTGGCTATTAGTGGAATTGGAATAGAGTTACTTCAGATTTAATTTTAATTTTATTATATTAAATGTTATTTTAAATTATTTTACGTATTATCTCGTATTATCTCTTAATCTATAGCTATATATTTTCAAACGGAATTTCATTATAAATTTGTATATCTAAACCATAGAGAAAATTTATACATATAAAATAAATCTATTATGTAGTGCCACATTTGTGCTTTATAATATTAATTATCATTATAAAGATCAGATGTGACGTGAAAATCATGCGTTTTTTAAAAAAAA